GGCACCGTGTCAGGTCGGGCCGGCCGGCGCCGCTCGTTTGTTCCAGATGGAAATCAGTGTTGCCCCGTCCAGATCTGCTCGTCTGTAAAATGACCTGTCTGGAAGTTATTACTCTTCCGCGCTGCCGGTGATATTGATACAGGGATAACCGAGCCGGGCGGCCGCGTGGCCGCGCTGCCCAGATTGTCTGTCCCCTTTGGGCGCGTGACATTGGTCGATGGTATTAGCATAGCGGCTCGGTGGGCCCGCGAGCGGCTCCGGCGGGATCCCGCTCGTCATGGCCCGCGCGGACGGTTATATGACCAAACGGCCGCGACCGGACAGCCGTGAGCGGGCGCACAGCGAGTGGGCGGCGGGCGGCCGCTGCGCAGAGCGGTGCCGCGAACACGCCGCCGACCGCAGCCGCGGACGGCGGCGTGAATCGTGCTAGGTCGTTTGTCACGGTGACGTTAGCTTATTACATGCACACACGTGTATGTGCGTGAGCTTGCACGTCTGTGTGCACACCAGGACAAGCGCGTGGTTCCTCCGTCTGTGGATACTCAGTGCGCGATTATTTTGCGGCACTTAAAAATGTTTCGGAAATCTGGCGTGGGAACTATGTCTAAGAACTAATGTCCTAATCCACCTCGATTCAAATATCCTGCTGCATTTAACATACATAATTCATTTTGGTTCGCCAAATCTGGTTAATTGCCATCGGCAATCTTGAAATATGAGGCGTTTATTTAACTATTGAAATGCTCAAGACGTTACGCCTTCGTGGAAACGCCGAAAGATATCTGTTATTGTTACATGTGAAGTGGTGCTGAATGCGGCGTAACCGACCATGATCGGCAGGCACAGACGGCCTACACAGGTATAAACACTGCCGCTATATTAAGCCGAACTTCGGTCCTCGCCACGTCGATGTCATAGCCGCGTCGGCGTGCTGAAAGTGCCCACCACTCTCGGGGGCATGCGCTTCAGCTTACGACCGGCCATCCCCCAGGGTGACTGACCTCGCCTGAAGCTGGAGTGCCGCCGGCGGCCGAGGCGGCACCGGTCCCGTCTGCCTCCGACAGTGGCGTCCACCTATCACCGACCTGTCCGAGCCAGCGCTAGAGCTCCATGACGAGAATAGCCGGGTGGTGTGTGGACGGACGGGCAGCGTGTGTGTGGTGTGGGGTGTGTTGTGGTGTGGGTGTGGGTGTGGTGGGTGGGTGTGGGTGGGTGGTGGGTGTGGTGGTGTGTGTGGGTGTTGGGTGTGGGTGGTGGTGTGGGTGTGGGTGTGTGTGTGTGTGGGTGTGGTTGTTGTGTATGTGGTTGTGTGTTGGGGTGGGTGGGGTGTGTGGGTGTGGGTGTGGTATGTGGTTGTGTGGGTGGGTGGACGTGAATCAGTCATCTCAGCACGACACGATTCAGGGAGCAGTTACAGTGATTTGGCCCACCAGTAGCGGCCGGCCGCAGTGCACTGAAGTCAGCGCACCGGGGCGTCTACTGGCCTGGGCTGCCGTTTTTATCAGGCCCGTTTATATGAATGGAGAGCTAAAAGCTCTGGTCACGATTGTACACGTGTCGGTGGCTTCGTGCAGGCAATGTTTGCATAGACGAAGCATCGAACCAAAGTGTAAATGCCCTGACATTTTAGTAGTAACTGAAGAAGTCCTACACTTTTTCGGAATTCAGCTGGGGAAATATGCAGACATGTAAGTAGGAGGTAACAAGCACTTTTCAGAAGCACATTAAAAGTGTCAATAACAAAGCGTTTGTCCCAGTAACTCAGCACCTGTACCTGCAGCTCAGTCGGTTAGACGGCTTGCATTCCCACACACACCCGCGGAGCGGTGGGTTCGAGTCGCTTTAGGCGCTCGCCATTTCCCTTGACAGATATGGCCTGCGGCCGTAACAGGAGTCGTGAAAAGCGCCATGTGACGTCAGAGCACAGGTCAGACCTTGCCGAGCTTTGCGACACGTTAACTTTATCCACCGAAATCTGCCGTTTGACATGGAATTGGACGATCGGATGATAGGTATCAGTGCTCACACTAAAGGCACTGTTTGCCATGACTTCTGGTCCCAGAAATTTATGTCCATTCAATAGAAAAACACAACTCAGGATCTTCCGACAGTATTCTTGGGGAGGTTTTCCCGAAATGCTTGTGCAAATTCCGAGTAATGACACTGAAAGCATTGGATTGTTTGCCAAAGAGCAATGATGCATTTTAACCTTGCGTACGTCACCCTGGCACTCGTCCCTTCCACCCTCCGCATGCATTCAAAACTAAGAATTCATTACTCATGCTTGGTTAAACATGACCGAAAAAGAAGCAATGAGATCGTCACATGTTTCCAGGCATAACACGGCATCCTTTGTCACCAAACATGGCTGCATGCATAGAGTTAGGATATTGTGTAACAGCACCCTGCTGAACACGCGTCGGTGACTAGGTGAGTGACTAGCTGACTTAACACACGGGTGGGTGACTAAGGGTAACACGCGCTCGGGCGGGTGACTAGGGGTAGGGCGGCTGAGATGACCACACCTTAAGGTTTGTTTTCAGCATAACCTCCAAAGAGTGCGGTGTTGCGATGCCAACCCTTGTGTAGTTAGACAAATGCGTAGCCCATATTTTGATAAAAGACATTGATTGCACATTTTGAAGGGGTTGTTGTCATCTGTATGGGCTTTAACTAAAGTGCAGTCTTGAATATCATTCAGTGCAGTTCACAGATCTGACCTGGTTGTGACCTAAACCTCTCCAGTTTCTGAGTTACACGTCCGCAAGAATGTGCAGAATATTTTGAGACCATTTCAAGGTCATCAGAAATCCATGACGTACTAACGTCACTGAATTTATACCACTAGTCATACGGCGGTCAAGGCCATGACAAACATAATTGTTCAATCGTTCATATATGGTGTTCGTGAGCACGATGTCCAGATACAACTACCGTCAACTGGCTCGCAATCAATTGTGACGGGCATGATAACTTAATCTAACACACCGTATTGAGAAGCATATTTAATCAAGTGAGAAGTTGGGTATACACGCTGGTCATAAGTGAGAGTGTTTTATCATATTTGATGCTTGCTTTAATATCTTCACATATGGAACATTCTCTTTAATGTTGCTGACGTGCAGCAGATCAAGGTCGCCCCATGGTCTTTAGCAAAGGATATTCCTAGGAAAGCTTTCAAGCTGATGCAGCATCGGAGTGTTTTAATTTGTCACACAACTTTCCGATGTGTCCTTACACGACCACTTAAGATCAGGATGACAACTGATTCCACTGACCAAAACCAAGCACCCTTTTGACATGGACGCTTGCTTTATTGGGTAGTCTTCGACACGTATGTCGAATTCTTTGATCACTAAGAGGCCACAAGATATCGTATTTTGTCTTAACGAAGATCGGGAGATGTCATTGAGCAAACATGATCTTTACATCTTTTTAAGGACCAAACCACCTGGGATGGTTACGGAACTGGGCGCTTAAATTCAAACAACACAAAAATATCAAAGGCTCTGGGTAGTTTTTGTTTTAAATAGTTTTTACCAAGTGGTCAAATGACTGCACCCAAACATAGCGAATGGCTTTTAAACCCGGACATATCTAAACGATATTTATGTTGTAACTGTGAACTTTGTCACCATTTTCGGAGGTCATGTTTTTTGGAGGCGGTAATGGCACGCATCTCGCAGTTTTGACATACCTTTCCCATGTAGTTTTCTACATTGACTTTGTGTAGTTTGACTTTGTGTAGTTGTTAGTGCAAGCTGACGCGACAGCGCAGCAGTGGCCTTCACCCCCTGACCTGGTATGACATATCACTGACCACACCCGAAGGTGTCCGCTTGTACCAACTTGATGCAGTTTTCTAACAGTTATTGAACTCCGTTTCTTCTTGTTGTCGTGATTCGCTTAGTTGTTCATAGCATAGGAGAGTTTATGAAGTGCTAATTTGGCCTCTATGCCCCGATTGTCTGCACAAAGTCACAACCACTGTTTTGTTACACCTATCTGATACAGTCTGAACAGAGCTTCCAGTGCCGTTTTCCCCCCTGGTCCTAGTTTGCTTATGTTAGAGCTCTGGAGTGGCCTTTAAGCGTTCACTTCCACTCGTGCGACGAGGATGAAAAAACGCCCGTGGCGCCAGGCGCCAGAGTGCTAATCAGCTCCAATGGAAGCACAGCATGCTGGTCACGACAATTGATGAATCTCGCATCGGCATGCCAATTATTCAGTTCACATGCACCGTATGTATGCTGCTCGTCAGAAGAAAGTCACTGTTGACCTACGTTCTGTCCTATCGTAATGTTTGTCGACTGTCTCTTATGCATGGTGAGGATGTTTACCAGCGGACTCTGTTTTGACGGCATCGAACGACATCTTCAATGACGAGTCCGTCTTCTATGGGGTTCTCAGTGTGGCACTCGTTTAAGGGCCCCATATTGGCTGAACATTAAATGTGGCTAGTTTCACGCACGTTTGCTGACGACATTTAGGAGGACCAGACAGCCATTGATTAAAAAAAGATTAAATACCTACTCAGGCACACCGCATAAACGTGAAGGAATGCAAATCCAGAATTATCTTGTTGATAAACTGTTTGTGGTGGGATATCGTGAGACGGAGTTTCGGCGCCTCAGCGGAAATGAAGAAACCGGCTGTGTATACGCCTGATGTTCCTTGAGCGGTGGCGAACAGAGCGCCCACCCTGCAGTAGATCAAGGCGAACTGCCAGCCAGGGCCCGCGGGATGCTTTGCTGAAAAGCCGCAAGGAGTACGATGATCATCATCCGGTCTCCCGGCTCTGGCAGTCGGGAAAGGAGGAGGGTATGGGGAAACTCTCCTTCTCTTCCACACACATATAGCAGCCCGGGGATAGAGAAATGCAGATGAACGCAGAGCCGAGAGAGAGAAAGAGAGAGAGGGAGAGAGAGAGAGAGAGAAGAGAAGAGAGAGAGATAGAGAGGAGAGAGAGAGAGAGAAGAGAGAGAGAGAAGAGAGAGAAAAAGAGAGAGAGAAGAGAGGAGAGAGGAGAGAGAAGAGAGATAGAGAGAGAGAGAGAGAGAGAGAGAAAGATAGAGAGAGAGAGAGAGAGATAGAGAGTGAGAGAGAGAGAGAGAGAGAGAGAGAGAGGGAGATGAGAAGAGGAGAGAGAGAAGAGAGAGAAGAGAGAGAGAGAGAGAGGAGAGAGAGAGAGAGAGAGAGAGAGAGAGAGAGAGAGAAGAGAGAGAGAGAGAGAGAGAGAGAGAGAGAGGAGAAGGAGAGAGAGGAGAGAGAGAGAGAGAGAGAGAGAGAGAAGACGAGAGAGAGAGACAGAGAGAGAGACAGCGAGACAGAGCGAGAGACAAGAGAGACAGAAGACGAGAGACCGAGCAGAGACAGCGACAGAGAGCGACAGTGACAGAGAGAGAGGGAGGTGAGAGGTCAGAGGAGGGGAGAGAGAGAGGGAGGAGAGAGAGAGGAGCCCAAATCAAACTCGGGGGGGGGGGGCTCAACGGGGAGAAGTGATTGCAGGAGCGACGCGAACGGCAGCGTCCCATCAGTATGTTGGGGAAGGCCACGCCTTTAGAATGGGAATACACCATGAAGGGAAGGCAGCCTGACAATGGGAAGACACCATGAGGTGAAGACACGTCTGAGAATGGGAAGACACCATGAGGTGAAGACACGCCTGAGAATGGGAAGACACCATAAGCTGAAGACACGCCTGAGAATGGGGCGACACCCCGAGGCAAAGACACGCCTGAGGAGGGGGACACGTTCCTGGAAACCCCCCAGAAGTGTACTTAGCAGGCAGTGCTGGAAACACCCAAAAGTGTTTGCAGGGAGACCCGCCTGAACCCCACCACCCATTTCACATAATAAGACCGATGAGCACCAGATCAAACAAACATCATTGATAAATTTATCAAATGAATATGGCCTTTGAAGGTGAAATAAGATTAAATGTAAAGTAATCGACAATTTATGACCTCTTCTCTTATCTCTAGAACTAAGGGTGCTACCATAATGCGACCGACGGCGTGCAATAGTTGTCGGGAAAATCTATTGGGCGGAAACTAGTGAATATGCCATATGATATGCAATGTTATGTCACGTTAAAGGTCAGAATGGTGTTGTTCACATGACACTTCCGCATGTAAGAAGAACTAAACAAGCAACATCAATAACAAAAAAGCAGCCAGCAAATTCTTTCGAGGCTGACAGGTATGCGCCATTAGGATTTCAATCGCATGACCTCCACAGCGCCAAGGCTTAACTCAGCTTGACCTTGGATGACCTGACGTTACCTTAGTCAGAAGAACCAAAACAATGTACTCCATAGGGATATAGACAAGAAGAGCAGCTTAGAATATCTCTTTGAAGTTGATTTTCATCGGGGTAAATTTGGTAATTGTAACCTATGAGCAAATATCACCAACAAGACTTAGAGAAAACCTCATAAATCACGAACCGTGAGTTCAAAAACTTAAAAGTTTCAAACATGTGACGAAATGACGTAAGCTCAGCATCACCCACAAGGTCCACGGACATGGTCACTGGGAAGTTAACCCTGAAGAGCTTGTGGGGGGGGGGGGGGGGGTGAGGGCCTTTGAGGCCCCGTGGTCCGAGTGTTAAAGATTCAAAACACTGCGACTCCCAACGACACACCAGTCGCCCGTGGGGCCGGTCAGGGCGCGTCACTGCGTAACATGACGTACCTTCGTGAGTTGTGGTCTTGTAATTCTCTTACGAGTGTCCCGAAGTGAACTTCGCACCTGTCTTAAGCATGCTATATGCGGCACACCGTCCGGCTGGCCGACCGATCGAGTCAAAGGAATGTCCTCGTCCCAGGGCTGGACAGGAGGCTTTTGCGCGTGCTGCACGCTGTGCATTCGTTCACTTCGCTCTCCAAAAAATCCGAAAGAAGTAGTCCAAAAAGGGAAGTGCAAAGGAAAAAGCCGGACGAAAATGGTTTAATTTGATAAAAGTTGACGGCGATAAAAGTGAAATCGGAGAGGATTGAGGAGCAAACGTCAAAAGGGATACAAGTGAATCGGAAAAGGCTGAGGTCACGGCTGCCTTTCATAGGTACGACCGCCAGATCGGCGCACAGTGCTTACACTGAATGCAGAATGTATGGATGCAAATGATAAAGCCATTTCATTTATGTTTTTGATGAAGCTATCGCCGCACCCTAAATGGAAAGTAACGGCGTTATTCGTCCGCTCTATTCACCTTCGGACCTGTTGTGCCTCAACCTCAATCGATGAGTCCCAGTAATCTGGGCCTTCCTGGAACCTCTGCCGTCAGATGCGCAGAGGCGACGAGCCGCGCTGAGGCCCCGCGTAAACCACGATCCCACATTCCGTTGTGTCGTCTAATAGCTCTAGATTGGGACTCAGCAACACCAATGACGCTCGCGGCCAGGAGCTCGTTTCGCATCGCCATCAATGGCCAAGAGGCGATTGCGCGCGACCAGTGAGCCCCACCACCATAGCCTGTCGGCCGGAGCTCCCCAGCGATCTCGAACGGACCAATCTACCGTGCCTTGCTCAGGTCCCCTTTGCCTTTTTTGATGCTTTAGAGTTCTTTAGGTTACCCGCGCTGGGTATTACCGCATGTCGCGTTGCCACGGTAGGGCTCTTGGCTGCTCTGCAATCACATGAGGAGGGCCTGCATGGCAGTTAATAAAAAAGTAAAAGTTTTCACGGACATGAATATAAGCAATTGTTCGGATGTGTGGATGCTCGCATTGCGGAATGTTTGCGATTACCGACGTTTGTTAATGCAAATGCTTACTTTAACGTTCATTTTCTGACAATCGCAATTGGCAGCGCTTGTAATTGCTAATCTTATGTCCATGTGTCAGATGCTCATGACCGCTAACGCTCATGCAACGCATGTTTGTAAGTGCGAATGTCGACATTTCAGATATCAGTAACTTTGCCCGAAAAATTGATATTTAAGAAGTTAAGGTACTTTACTGTTCCCTCAGTTTCCATCAAACGCTCCGACACCGACTCCACGACACTTTCAGGGCGCGCTGGCACCTCCCAGCGCAGCCAGAGCTTAAATTACATAGTACTGCTTTTTGCCTCTATTCTAGTATACTCTGCAGCATTCGCTCTGCAATGCAAAACACCCCAGTCTCTCCTGGTTTAGGAGCAGTACTGACTTACGAAGCCTTTATCCGATGAACGTGTTCGTCGGCAGCAGTGGCCAATGGAACCTGAAAACGCGAGTGTGTCACCTTATTCGTCCGGCCGTCGAATTGAGCAGCGTCAGTTACCAGGGACCCAGCGATCCAGTGCGCTTCCGAGGCGGCCATTGCAGCGGGCCGAATAATCAACTGAATTAGTCCTGGATTACCTAGGGCCGACCTTGTCCATGACAAGCCAAGCTTGCCAAGTTTGCTTGAGCTTTCCAAGAGCGCCTACCGATGAAGTAGAACTCAGGCCCTTCAAGGTATCCTGAATAAAGACACTGCATGGCCATTTTCACAGGCTTGGCTGCGTAAAACTGGATTGTAGGCTGGTTATGGCCATGTCGTTTTCATGTGATTGCTGGACAACACCACGTGCCGATGGCACTCAGGTGCCCTTTTGGCTGTGATTGCCTTGTTTTTGTATCAGGAAGCTAATCGGCAGGAGCTTACCAGCTGCGCTAAGTAAGTGATCCAGAAGCAATTGCGGCATTGGACAATACGCAGTTCTTGGTAATGCCCACCAATCAGCATTAACGTATATAATATTTGTGCGGGCAGCTTCACTGCGGGCAAAGCCGCGGGCAGCGCGCCAGTCGAGCTCGTTTCCAAAGAAATCACTATCAGGGACTCGCTTGATCATTAACTCGGGCTCACGTCTGAACAGACGTTTGCTATGTTATATCCTACTGCGAAATATGTCGTTCCAACGATCGTGATGCAGCGGCTTTCCAATCGGCTGTAAAGAAGCCGATTTTGACAAATGACAGTAACACCGTGTTGTTTCATGCAACTGGTCTCTGCCTTGAACGGGCATTGCTGTGGCGTTATTGCAGGTCACGTGACACACGCCGCGCGCAGGAATATGCGGGATTGGCTCAAAATGTAAAACTCAATATTTGCAGTTGCGGAAAAATTATACACTGGTCAAAGCCAGGCTCAAATATCGGCCAACCACATCCATAGCAGCGAACTCTGTCTGCTCCACCCGAACTGCATGCGTTTTGCCAATAGTTTTTCCACACTAACTTAAGGCGTCGATAACTGCAAGCCATTGATTTCACAGACACAAAAAGTCGTGTCCGTTCGCAGTTTCCCGCTAACCAGCTTAAGATGCTGAATTTGATGCATCGTACTGATCCACGATTGATGATAACCCGCTTCTAACTTACACATCGATCATGAAATCAGAAGTCGGCAAAACCATAATGCCATGCTAGACCGACAGCTGGTCTCATAGAAGTTGTAGTCAAAATATGAGACAATGCTACACAACAGCAGCCCGTGTGGCCGTGCCATTGACGAACGTCACCGCAGTGCTCCATTCATCGCTAGCTGATGCCATGGCGAAGGGGACACTGAACAGCTGCAGTCTGCGTCCAAATTGCAGCTAATCGCTGCAATCTGAGGCACAGAATACAGCGAAAATTCCCTGTATTCGCTAAGGCAGTCTGTTTACTCCACACAGTCGGCTTTGCAGTTGGCGGGAAAAGCCACATAGATGGTGTCGAAGCTCCATGCAGCCGGCAAGCGGCACAGCATGGGTTGATTTTTTGCTAAGCACCGTCTGTCGTTGTGGGATGGATGTGTAGCTAACTAACAATGCTGCACTTCTGCCGTTCGTGTTGGGCCCACACGCGCCGACAGCACACCTTGGGTCTGACTGTAGGACGGGACAGACCGTCACTGTCGCCACAGTGCGATTACGACAGACCGGGCAGCTTGTGTCCGTTGCACTCACTGGTTGCGACTGAACGACTATATGTCAAATTCGGTAGAATGGGCAGACGCGGCTGCACAAGCAGTAAGCAGTGGGCCGGCGCGAGTGCAACACTGCCTTCATTGCTCATTGTACCCAGAGCCAGGACCTCACTGCATGACTACAATTCTTGCTCTGTGTAGTCAGCAAGAAAGCACCGCTGTTTCAAATACGTGTGCAGTCACATGCAGAACTGCACAACGAAATTTGCGTTCATTGCAGCTAGTTTTATGGCAATACGCCACCCTAATAATTGCTAAGTACTGTAGTAAGGCGAGCCTACGCCGTAAAACTGCAGTCGGTGATCATTACAGAAGACAGCTTAGTATGCAATTCCAGTGCAGTAAATGACCAGCACAGTCCGCCGGCGCCGTAACAAATGTGCGGTACGATGGTCATTTTTCGCCATTCGTCTGGTGTCTAGCCAAGGTACATTGGTGACGTGTACTCATCGGCGAAAATCGGTCATGTGGCGCTGGTGACGGCGACGTACACCAATCACGTGACATCGGTGACGCGTGACTTTCGTCAGTCACGTGACAGTTGTCAAGTTTACGACTTGTGGGCGAGATTGACCAGGGCTAGTTATTGCTGCTTGATGTTTTCAGACCGAGAAAACTATATCTGGAGGCACCAGGCGGCTGGCTAAAGGCCACAGAAGATGGCGCCTCAACTGTGTGCTAACCATAACTTTGCTGGAAGCATTTAATTAATAACCAACTAATCGTGAGCAAATGCATGCATGCTGCTATGATTGACTGTTACAATAACTAATTTGTGCAATCTGTTTAAACGATCTTTCGTTCCGCTATACTTAATCCTCGACTAAACCTTTTTAGGTTGCAATGACGGACAGCAAATTATTGTAGGCACGACCTAAATATATATACATATATATATATATATATATATATATATATATAGATATATATATATATATATGTATATATATATGTATATATATATACAAATATATGTACGTATATATATAAAGATAGTTACATACCTACATAGATAGACACACAGATATATGCATATATGTATATTTGTATTATAGATATATGTGTATATATATAGGGCGCATTCACTCACCGTTTGTAAACACATGTACTTGACTTTTACTGATATGAGACGATGAATCCGCCCAAATTTCGTCCCACACTCAGTTTCCGTCCTGATCTGGAAGTCTATACCGGCTTCGCAGCAAACGACGGCGGAGCTGCCTGAAAGGAGGAAGATTTCAAAAGGGACATACTGTTGTTGCGCTATTTTCGCTGTGCATGCTCGTGGGGTGCGTAAGTTTGTACGCATGTATGGAAATGTATGTGGATTGTCATGAAAGATTTCATTTCTAGGCGAGCGACTCAGATCGGCAGTCTGTGACTGTGGCGTCGGGTAGCTGGAATGACTGTGGCGTCGGGTAGCTCGGAATGACTGTGGCGTCGGGTAGCTGGAATGACTGTGGCGTCGGGTAGCTCGGAATGACTGTGCGTCGGGTAGCTCGGAAGGCTCCGGTGACCGGGACATGGAAGCTGAGAGGCCTGGACGAGCGGCGCGAGGCGGAAAGGCCCCCGGGAGCGGCAGCCCTCGAGATAATCTCAGCTCGCGCAGACGCCGCTAAAATTGCCTCCAAGCCGTCGACACAGCCGAGGCTTTCAATGCAGAAACTGCTGAAGTGGAATTCATCCCTCAGGCCGCACTTGGGACCTACGACGGCGTGGCGGGGATTGCGGACAGCGCACTCATACAGCCATCGACTATCTGCAGAGCGGCCTGAAAGGCCTCAAGTTCTTTGTCTTCCCGAGCGTATTACCCTCAAGGCTTCTACGAGCTATTCACCCCGAGAATATGTACGTCCGGGTGTTTTGGTAATCGACGGTGCTTCAGTTTCGGAATCATTGTGAAAGGCTCAAGCTGTGGGGTTACTTCAAATACCAAGTCAACATGAGCAAGCCAACGACATTTGTAAAACTTGAGACCGCCTTCCAACTTGAGACGGGACGCGCAGCCGTCGACAAGATCGACCGGACGGTCAGGCGGCTGCAGCAGGTCCGACTGTCGTGCTTCTGTCGGACTGCCAGAGGGCTCATCTGGGGCGTCTTCCACAGAGTCTCGACTTGACGAATGCAAAATCACCGACTACCACTGTTGCTGGACGTGTTTTGAAATTGGACTAGCACTCTGATACCACAAACGCATCGGTTGTTCGACAAAACGCTTGCGAAAAACGCGTATCAATCTTAATTGGGCCATACCGTGTCTGAATATTTTTGGTTAAAAACGCACTTCGTTTCAACTGAAATAAAAATGGGGTGAACTAGAGTTATAAGTGATGGCGGTTCAGGTACATCGAAAACAGCCTTAAAGCTGAGTTCA